CCCCAAAACCCCAAAACCCCAAAACCCCAGACTATATCTGACCGTTGAACCCCCAAAACCCCAATTTAACGCCTAATAAAATTTATTCTCCATCCCTTAAAATCACTTATTTCTAAATCCCCATAAATCTTATTACTCACTCAGAGGGCCTGGACTCTCCTCGACCACCTTGAGTCCGCTCAAGTGGTGTTTGCTCACCAGTTCCTCCACCTTCGCCTTCGAAATCTTGCAGTCTCTAGTATTGAGGGTCTGGAGGGAGTCCTTGTAGGGGGACTTGGCCAGGGCTTCCACGATGTGTTCGAACCTTTCAGGCTGCGAGTCCCAGGCCATTGACACTGAGGAACAGCCACCACAGTAGTAGAAACTTAAGTAGGAGGTGGAGGAGGGGGCGGATCCGAAGTCCATGCCCTCTTTCGTGTGCACTTTACAGGCTATGATGCAAATCCTGTGTGCGTTGGCTCAGTTCTGGAAGACCGCCTGGAGAGCCTCCGGGGAGACCTGGAAGTAGTACAAAAATATTTCTTTGGTGACGTTGTCTAAATTGGAGGAGGTAAGGGAGGAAGTTTAGGTTTTGAACGGAAAGGAGTAAAGGTTAAGTTTGAGATTTTGTTTAAATTTGATAATTGTGGATTTGTGAGATGTTTTTGGTTTAGAAAAGTAAGATGCTTGTTTTGTGGCTTTTGAAAGAGTGTTGGCTAAACTCTGAAAGAATTGGGAGAATAGTATGGCCCTCGGCCTCCAGCCAGGAACCACCTGGAGACACTTACTCAGGATGGGACTCGGACTCCCTCCCGAGAACACACTCGGGAGATTGCTGCTCTCTAACAGTTCGGAGCAATCCAAGTTCAGACAGAGCAGAGGCAGGGAGGCCGGACTGCAGTGGGTCAGGAATTTGTCCAGTGTTTCCAAGTGAGAGTTCTTGGCGTAGTTGATGTAGATTCTGGCGATGGAAGGGAGTTTGACCTGGGCTTCTCCGAGAGCGGCGATGAGGTTCCTGTCCTTGTCGTTGCTGAAGTTCAGTTCGAGGTTGGTGGTGGAGTCGAAGGTTTTGGAGGACCCCATGGTTTCTTTGTAAATGGCTTCTGCAACGGATCCTCCAACGTATTTGAGAACTCCTTCTTTTTGTTTGAGTTGGTCTTGGTTGGCTGTTAATCTGAGGTTGAGTTCCTCCATTTGGTCTTTAAGTTTCTGGTGTTCAAGTGTAAGAGCGGAGAACTGGTCTTCAATTTCATCTTTCTGGATCTTCTCTCTTGCGATCAGGTTTTCTTGGTTGCTGATTTTGTTGTTGAGGTCTAAGATTATTCTATCGGCAGCCTCTTTCTGGGTTTGAGAGTCTATGTTAAATTATCTCAGGATTTAGAAGAACATGATTTGAATTTATTTTAGAATAGTTTAAACACAAAAGCGAATGAAGAAATAATTTAAACAGAAGCCAGATATACTCTGCAAGCTTACCTTGAGTGAGTGCCTGAATCTCGTCTCTGAACTTGGCCTCTGCCTCCTCTTCAGCCTGGGCTTTCCTCTCCTTGACTTCCTCCTCTGCCTTGACTTCAAGCTTGATTCTGTAATCGGTGACTGCTTCTCTGACAGCCTGGTTGAACGAGGGTATGTTCCTAGCCTCTTTTTTCGTTTCCAGCGTGATCTTGCTGTAAGAAGAGTGGATCAGCTCGGAGTCGTACAGCAATCTCAAGAATGGGTTGCTGTTATTGTCAAAGGTTCCGAGGTCTCCGAAGTTCCCATTCAAGATGTCTCTCTTCATCTCTTTAGCTTGTTCTGTCAGCCTGGAGTACTCGTGGAACTTATCTTTTGTGACAGCCTCTCTGACTTGCTCTTCATAGTCTGTGAACACGGTGGTAAAGTGCTTCAAGCAGTCTCGAAGGTGATCGATCTTGGAGATCAACTCAAACTCTGAGGCCTTATGTGTAAGCGTCTTCAAGAGGCTCTCGACAAGTCCGGCTGATCTCCAAAGTTCGTCAGAGCAGCCGATAAGTTGGACGCTGCAGTCATAATGAAGGGCATCTGAGCAGTCCCCGCATAGCCTAGTCTGATGAGTGAAGCAGTAATACTTTCTGGGGGTGTCACATTCATTGTACTGTCAAAGAAGTCTCTTTTGTTTTTCCTGCAATTCTTGGGCAGACATTAATAAAATTAATAGATTATATTTTATTTAAATCAGTTAATAAATATCCTTCTGGGGTTTTGGGGTTTTGGGGTTTTGGGG